TGTTCCTTTGAATGCTGATTGTTATAGCATGTCCAAAGTTGAAAAGGCAAAAGGCCTTTGAAAAGGAAATCGTACCAGAAGCATCCTGTTCTGACATACAGTGTAAAACATTTCTTAATAAACGAAGCCTTTTATCAAAGGATAAAGATTATGGATATCAAAACCAGAGGAGGTGACTGCAGTGATCAGATCAGAAGACAAAAGCAAGAAGGGGTTGCAAAGGCTGTGCCAGCTTCAAAGGAGCTCTGAATGTAGAATGGTACCTGCACAAGAACAATTTTACAGATGCCTTCTGCCATCAGATAGGCTTGGTAGCAAAGCAGTGACAGAGGTGCAGTTAGGTGATCTGAGACCCCAGACTTGGGGCAGGGAAGGGGCTGCTTTAGATGGACATGCCTATTAATTCAGCTGCAAAGGGCTTAACTTTGATCTTCTACCACCAATTCTGCAGTTCCATGCTTTGCCTTTATTTCTATATTCCTCCTAACCAGCCTGTCCACACATCGCAACTGCCCACTACAGGAGCAAGGAGGGGGGCTGCCACATCATGCTAGATGCCTGCAGGCATCATTTTTGTATGACTCTTGTGGGTGCCTAGCCTGCCATGTGCTGCTCACATAGGTAGCAAGGCTTGGTTGAGGGTTAGATAAGCCATACTTTTGTTTCAGGATGGTCTAACCATCAAACAACCTGCCGTCTGGGTTCACAAGACACAAGCCATGGCAAGTCGGACACCTGTAGACACCATGCAAAAATGTCAAGCCAAGTAGGTCATATTAGAGCAAAAAACAAACCAGAAATAATCTGCTATAATCTGTTAGAAAGAAAGAAATGAGCTTGTGCAGTTTTACTTATTAAGCCAATTTAAATCATAGCTCCATCATTTTTATTATGCAACAAAATATGAAACCAAAGTGCACCATTAGAAAAGAAGAAGAAAATTAACTAAAATGCTAGTGTCTTTGTGGGTTTGGGCAACACCCAATGGCAGCTTCCTTTTGGGAGAAGGGAATACTTTGGATAGATCTTGTGACAGAAATACTATAAGGTTACACATGTATTTTTGAATTACCTACCTATCTACTGGAATGTGACACAAGGTATTTTTCTGTGTTCTTTTGACAGCTAAAAAGACAAATATTACAACATTCAAAGGATATGTGTTCACCTGCAATAACATTATGGGTAGATCATTTAATGAAACTTTTGATTTTTGAATGGGAGGCCTTCAGGCATAACTTAGAAATAGATCAAGAGATGGTTATTTGCCTTTGTTGAAGTACGTACATTATTATTTTCAGTAATGATGGTGTGTTCTGCTATATTAAATATAGGGATAGACATGCAATATTTTATTTTTATTTATTTAGGAAGCTTCTATGCCGCCCCATTCGCTGAAGCCTCAGGGCAGCTCACATCAAAAAATAAATAATCACAATATAAAAACAATATAATTTGAGTCGACCTGGTCAAGGATATAAAATAAATAAATAATATTAACAATTAAATTAACAATTAAAATGACATTTAAATAAAAGGTCTTCGTCTGGCACCGAAAAACGAATAACGACAGTGATGAGTGTTGTTTATCTTTTTATGTCACAGCGCCATCATGACCACAGGAATAAAATGGCAGTTGCTTCTGCTGTCCTGATGTTAAACGCATGTACTTAGGAATAAGCCCCATTTTGTGGATCCAACATCAGCCTTGGCTTGGTTGGCCAGTCCAGGTGCTGTTGGCCACTGGGCCTGTTGGCCCCTGCCTACATTAACTGGCTGGCCATGGGAGGGATGTGGGGCCTAAGACTTTAGCGCCAAGATCCAGTCCTGGCAGCACTTCTGAGCAGTAGCAAATAGGTGTTGTGCTTTTGTTACGACAGTATCCATATTTGGCAGGAAGCACTCAGATGCTTTTGGAAAGAGGCAATAGTGGGGCAGTGTCACGCTCTTTGCATATGCCTCGCACACTTGCTTTCCATGCATTCAGGAGATGGAAAGTAGCTGTGAAGCATCCGCCTTAATCTTGGAATCTCCAAATTACATCTAGAAAGATGTACTCATTTTCATGGAGCCAAAAATGAAGCTACCAAAAAGGGCACATTTTATCAGGTCAACTGGCTTCATGTTGATGGTCTAGAGAATGTGAAATTTTCCCGTTCAGGGTCACAACCAGCCAGGTATGCCCTTTCCAGGATATTCATCCCAACCTCCAGTTTCTTTTTCTTAATCCCCAACAGCCAGTCTATAATCTGTCCATTCTTACGGAAGTATTTTGGAGGAGGGGCTATATCTTACATTCCCTCCTTCCACAAAGATTGCATCTACTTTTGCAAACTTTGGCATTTCCCAAAACCTGCTAGTACATCCGTCTGGTATGTTAGAAGTGCTATTTGACTACACAGGAAACCACACTTTGCAAAATAAGTAGTGCATAAAATTTAAGTGTAGTTTTACAGTTAATTCTGATGATGTGGAACCTTGATGTTTGCAGGAAGACAACAGAAAACTGAACGTATGTTTGCCTTTCTAAGTTTTTTTTTTCCTCTTACAAAAAATAAAATCATATTTGAGAATCCTTTCCATTGGGAGAACCTGGTGTAGAATCGACACCCCCTCCCTGGTCTTTCATAGGATGCTTGAGAGCTTGAAGCAAATGGATCTGGCAACTGGATTGTGTCTTTGCAAGATAACGACTTTATTAAAGGTTGAACTCTGACAAAAATCAGAAAAGGGTGGTGGCAGGAATATTTACAAGTGCAAGAAGCTGAGACTTTTTTTATCAGCAGCTTGCTGAAAAGATAAGGAGCTGGGTCAGCCCATCTCTGTGGCCACGCTCTCTTCGCCTTTTGATTCTCTTAGGGAAGAACACAAGGAGCTGCTGACATTTCTACTTAAAAGGAAGAATCGATGGATCTTTGTTTCCCACTGCCTGCCTCTTTGACCTTATTGTGTTGCGGAACAGAAGAGAGAGAAAGAGGAGTCCGGAGAGGGGAGTTCTAAAGAAGATATTTGCACTATGCAAACCCCAGACAAGATCACTGCTTTCTGATCAACACAAGGGACAGTGTTATTTGGCTGTTTCCCTGTTTGCTGCTTTGGCTCATTTCAAATTCTTGCCCCGCGCGCAATAAGTCACACTCTGTCCAGCCATCATCCCTGTATTGACAGGCAAATGTCACCCACGTTTGACTGACGTCCAATTGCTCCCGAATGCAGAAGCCTGATTTAGGAATCAATTCAGTCTATTTGTTCAATGCAGCTTTGTTCTTCCTTGTAGTCATAAGAAGTGGTCCTTGCTTAACAGCTGCTTCAGAGAACTACTGCTCAAATCACAGAAGTCAGATGGCACGCTCACCTTACTAGGGACATTCGCCTCCACCACCAGCATGGGACGAGTGAGCGTGCGCGCGCGTGAGCAGAACGCTGTGCAAGGAAAGAGGAGTCAGTCCAGCAACAATTCCTGCTTGAGGGGAAAAATGTACTCCGACTTGGCACAGAAACTTCTTCCTTGTTTCTCACATGCCTCTTCTTACAGGGAAAACCTACACTGCGGTGACTCTTAGCCTAATCTACTTTTGACTAGATTCCAAAGTGGCACTTCCATAAAGGAATGAAAGCTCTTTTATTCACTGCTGCAGATTGATAGTGTTTGGCCAAAAGGCAGGGAGAAGCCATCTGTAGCCCACGAGTGTCTCATTCTCTGCTTATGAGTTACAGCAACACCGAGCGTGAGGTGAGGTTTTCCCATGTGTTTTAGTTAGCGAGACATCCTCCCCGCACATCCTAGTGGCAGGAGGGGGGCTTTTCCGAATGGCTTTTGCTGGGGTGAATAGAAATGCACCGCCCTGCTAGTCAAAGGGATATTTCATATGACAGGCAGAGGCTGCTGGGGCGTGGGGGGGGGGGCATTCCACAAGAAGCAGGTTTGACCTTTAAATTCTGGACCAGTGATCTGAAGGTTATCCAAAAGGTGCTTCGCAGACCCCCCCCCCCCCCAATTCCCCCCCCAAAAAAACGTTACCCCCCCCGGCCCACCAAGGGAAAAGCGCGCGTTTCTCTGGTCTGGGGGGGGGGGGGGGGGGGGGGATAGTGGCGGGGGGGAGAGGGAGGAAGAGGGGAGGAAAACATTTCCCCACACTTGTCAGTGAGATGCCAAACTCTCCGTGAGTGGGATGAGCGGAGCAGATGCTGGGATGAGATGCCAAAGCGTCTCCCCTTTTCCCCTGCGCTTCTGGGCGCTTATAAATTACCCCGGCGCCTTCGCCAGCCTCCTCTTGTCGTGGCGAGCGGCTGCGTGCGCTCGACGCCTGTGCTAAGCTCGAGCGAGCGATAGAGCGAGGGAGCGAGCGAGCGAGCGCGGCTTCGGGGGCCCGGCGGCTCTGGCAAGGGAGCCAGCCAAGGCTGAGGACGAGCTCCTCCGTCTGCCTCTCGCACGCAGCGGGGCGAGCAGGCGGCTCTCGGCTGCCCTCGGAGAGTTGGTGCTGCGCGGAGGACTCGGAATGAATGAGTGAAGGAAGGGGTGGAAAAGAGGCGAGAGAGGGGGGAGGAAAAAAAACCCCGCGGGAAGGCAGCGAGCGAGGCGACCGGGAGGAGCAGAAGGGAACTTGATTCGAGCTGGCACAGGCGGGAAAAAAAAGTCGATCGCCAGCAGCTGCATAAAAGTGTGAGCGGCTCCTCTCCAGGGTAGCGGCGGCGGCGGCGGCAGCCACAGGTGCCCCAGACCGGGAAGGCAGCGCGGCGGAGCAAGAGGGCGACCGGGACTTCGCCTCTGGGATCTGGCGAACGACGCCTTTCCGCGCGTCCCTCCCCGCCGCCGGGAGGAAGAGGGCGAGAAGCCCCCAGGGACGCGGGGACGCTGCCCCGCGGTGATTTCGGCTCGAGGAAGTGCCCGTCCCGCCATCAAGATTTTGTCCAAAAGCAGACAAGAGGATCGCCCTGCGCTGAGCCGCCTGGTGGGCAGCAGGCGCCGGCTGATCGCGGCCGGCGCGCTGGGGGTGGTCATGGTGCTGCTGCTGGTCATCCTCATCCCGGTGCTGGTGAGCTCGGCCGGCACGTCGGCGCACTACGAGATGCTGGGCACCTGCCGCATGGTCTGCGACCCCTACGGCGGCACCAAGGCGCCCAGCACGGCGGCCACGCCCGACCGGGGCCTCATGCAGTCGCTGCCCACCTTCATCCAGGGCCCGAAGGGCGAGGCCGGGCGGCCGGGCAAGGCCGGGCCGCGCGGGCCCCCGGGGGAGCCCGGGCCGCCGGGGCCCGTGGGCCCGCCGGGCGAGAAGGGCGAGCCCGGCCGGCAGGGGCTGCCGGGCCCGCCGGGGGCGCCGGGCCTGAACGCGGCCGGGGCCATCAGCGCCGCCACCTACAGCACCGTGCCCAAGATCGCCTTCTACGCGGGCCTGAAGCGGCAGCACGAGGGCTACGAGGTGCTCAAGTTCGACGACGTGGTCACCAACCTGGGCAACCACTACGACCCCACCACGGGCAAATTCACCTGCTCCATCCCCGGCATCTACTTCTTCACCTACCACGTGCTCATGCGCGGCGGCGACGGCACCAGCATGTGGGCAGACCTCTGCAAGAACAACCAGGTGCGGACGCGGGAGAGCCGGTGGGTGGGAGCAGGAGGCAAGCGCGGGAGGGCCGCGGGGAGCGAGGCGGCGCTCGGGACGCCGTGGCTGGGGAATCCCAACCCACCTTCTGATGCCCGGCTGTCTTGGCAGCACTCTCCATGCCCTTGGGTTGCTGCTCAGCCGGCAGAAATTCAACAGACCAAGCTTCACCTGTTGAATGTCTGCGGGCAATGCTTTCGAGAAAAGGTGGCAATCCTAACACCAACCCAATTAAGCGGAATGGGGAGAGGGCCGCCGCCTGCAAGGGATAGCTGGCAGAAAAGTACGTGTGTATGCGGGCTTGCGGGGAGGGGGTGTTCCAAAGACATGGGTGTTGGAAAGATGCTAAATTCAAAGGATGCCTTGACTCCAACGCAAGGTATTCGAAAACACTGCTAATTTCACACGTTCAGTCTGCACGTGGTAAGGAAGTGAGAGTAGGATGGGCAGCAGAGCCCGGGACTGCTGAGGTGTTCCGGGACTGAGCCTGGCTTCTGGAAAGGAGCTTCGGTAATTTCAGGAAGCAGCAACGGAGCGGGAATTGGAGCTGGGGAAAAAAGGGCAAGTGAGCGCATGTAAAGGAGCGATCAGTTTAGCTTGCTTCCGCCGCCATGCCCAGCGGCTTCAATGAGTATGCGTGAACTGTGGAGTAAGGATTGATGCCTACTCGGGATTACTTAAACTGCGTTAAGGCGCAATCCGGCGCGTGTTTAGGCAAACCCAAATCCTACAGTCTCCAGCCTTCCCCATGCAGCGCCTATGAGCAAACTAAGCATGGCTGGCTGTGGAATGCTGGGAATTGTAGGATGGGTCTGTCTAAACATGCGCCGGGTTGTGCCTTTCCTTACTCCTGAGCCCCCCCCCCCCCGCGTGTGCCCACGATCCATCGCCCATGCTGGAGCGCCCTTTTCCTCCCCCTTTCGCTGTACGTGACTTTTGGACTAAGTGGTCCCTTCCCTTGCCTATCACGGTCGAGCAGAATGTGGATGATCGGCCCGGGCGCTTTGTTTCCCTCCCGCGTGGAAAAGAACAAAACGGAGCGGGAGAGTCATTTGGCAACGGAGGGGATGGGAGATGTGGCCCCAAAGAGCAGCGCGGGTAGGAAGGGGGTCGGGGCCCTGGAAGAGCGCTTTGGCGGCCGTAGCTGGAGCATGCTGCGGGCCGTTCAGTCCTCCGTATAGGGAAGATGGCACGGTAGGGCAGGGGCGGGTCAGCCCCAGGAAAGAGGGCCGGCAGGTCAAAACCTGCCCAGGTAAGGTGAATGAGAGGTTCCGAGAGGAGGAAGAGGCGGCCTATCGCGGGTTATGGCGAAGGGGCCGCTGGTTCCCCTGGTGGGCCGAGAAGTGCGACACAGTCTGGGAAGCGACCTGGGAAGTAAGCAAGCGAGGCGGGCTCGTGGGGTAGCACAGGGCCCCGCTCTCTCCTTTCCCGGTGCCCGGACTTACTTCCACTATGGCGGCCTTACGTGTGTGCAAGGGCCTCGCCTCTAACAACGGCTGGCGGAGAGAGGCCGGCGAAAGGCCGCGTTTTCCTTCTCCGGGCCAGCGTCCGCAGTTTGCTTTGCGCCCCCGCGGCCTGTGCAAAAGACCGAGCCGCAGACCGCTAACGGAGGACGGGGGCCGAGTGAAGCGGCGCTTCTGCTAAGGGCCAGCCTCGTGGCGGCAGAGCCCCTTTTGGAAAGGAAAAGGTGGCGGCTGCGTGGAGCAGAAGGAGCAATGCCTGCCGCATGGCGAGAAGAAAACTTTCGGCGCGTCCACCCCAAACTTCCCTCGAAAGACGGCTCCATTGCAAGCGCAGGGGACTCTTTCTAGGCACGCGTGGCGTCGTGGGGATTCAGCCCCACTGTACTGCAACAGAGGGCTGTAATTTTGAGGAGACCGCGTGGAATGGCGTTGCTGCAGTGCAGTGGGACTGACCGACTCTCACGGACGGACGTGTGTGCAGGATTGCGCCCCGATTCGGCAAAGGATTGACCAAAGGGATCGCTAGGGAATGCACCTGCCCCGTGAGAAATTAAACGGGAAGAAAATGCCAAGGGAAGGGAAACAACGGCAATTTTCTCTTACTCCGCAGTTTTGCAATAATGAAAGAAAAATCCTGTTAGAGCCCAACATATGAAAGCAAGCGCGCGAGCGTCAAATGCTAGAATAAGTATGGGAAACATGAAGAGAACGGCAAGCAAAGACCGTTAGGGGAGCAAAAATAGTTGCTTTGAGGTGGATGCCATGAGGAGAAGTGGTGAACTCAAGCCATTTTGTGAGCCGCCCAGAAAGTGTCAGCCGCTGGCCAGTACAGAAATGGAATAAATCAATACATTACTATCACTGCTACGATTAAAACCAAGCTTATGGAGTTATGGCAATACACACACAACAAAATCCATGCATGTTTACTGGGAAAAAACCTCAGTTAAAGAGTTGGGCTTACCGCTGGGTAAGTGTGCATAGGATTGCAGACTAAAAATCTTACCTTTGCATTGCAATGACATAAGCAGATAGATGAATAGCATTGTACTCCGGGGAGTAAGGTTTTGTCAGGGTGAGGGTTGTGTTACTATATTATTGCGATACTGCTTTTTTAAAAAAAGCATTCCTTTCCAATTGTTGGCAAAATTAAAGCCAAACAAACATTCTTATTTGAGCCATTGCTTCCTCTCTCCCTTCCCCTCTGCAGTTCTTCACTAGGCCAAACATTAAATATCATGAGATTCACTGGATAAATGACATAGGAATCATCCATTTTAATTAGTTTAAATGGTATTACAATTGCTTGCTTCCTTTGACTCTTAAGTGGCCCCCAGGGATTTGGCTGTCATATACATACATAGATGTGGTTAACATATCTGTATACTTGTTTGCCTTCATTATTCTCTGTGTAAGCAAGATTGATCACTGGATAGGTAAGAAAATTGGTCAGAAGTTGCCCCGCAATGTCCAGTTGTTAGCTCATGGATCAAAATATGTATGACGACAATCATTACAGGCACATGCATAGTTACATATAGATATTTAATTCCATAAAGGTGGAATTAAAAAGTAACATTTTATCAAACCATGCTACTTGTAAGATTAGAAATAAACATAAATAAGGCATCCTTATTAGAAAGTGTTGTAGGGTTTCCATTTACTACCACATATTTATGTCCACACTGTGCTAGGGGCTGTATAGAAAGCAAAAATGGCACTGTTTATTCATTGGGAGTTCACTGACTGCTGCATTCAGTTTTACAGAGACTACCTCAGAATATTGCAGGTCCCCTTTTATTATTTGCTTTTTACATATGAACTATCATTACAGATAGCACAGTGAACATGATTTTGCTGAATTCTGACCATGGTTTCAGAAAAGCTGCAATATGGGTTTCCATATCTATGTAAAGTACTTGAGACTGAAGGGATTTTTTTTCTCCTGAAAGGCAGAATAATGAAGTTGAAATTGCTGAACACTGGTACTGGGGAATACCAGTGTACCATAACCAGATGAGAGCCCCTTTCAGTCACTCCAGCTTTGCGTTGAATACAGGATCACAGATTGGGAGCATCAAAGGCTGGTAAATTAATCTGATATGCCACTTAACCTTTTTGTTTATTGTTTCTCACAAGTACTGTAAAAATGAAAGCATGAGGACATCAGTAGTAATTAATCAAATTAGTTAATGCCTCTTACATAAATAGTATCTTTTAAAATGATACCACATTGTTAAACGTTAAATACAGAACAATCAGTTTTCATGTCTCACATATACATTTATCTTGTTAACAGATAAAATAAGTTTCACTTTTTTGGTTATTAAAAATGCCTGCATCTCTTTAATCCTAGATGGAAATAAAAATTGTACACTGTATGACATTTTTATGATCATAAATATTAAAATAAGCCTGATGATAGACTAAGTACATAATCCTAGACATTTATAAATTGCTTAATTTAGTCACTATGCAAACAGAACAGGCAAATATCGATCACGCGGTACTGAGTTTAGTTTATGCAGTCATAAGAAAACCTTATGCCAATTTTTTATATTCGTGAGTAGTGTGAATACATTGTTTTATGGATGAGGGACTGTGCTTTGATCTTAAAAAGTTAACGGCTAATGACTTGTGATAGTAGAATTTTCTATACAAAATATTGTGGGGTGGACAAATTACCTTCTGAAGAGAGCAAAGTGTTTCAGATTCAGTACTGTAATGAAAGAAAACATCAGTGCTGGAAGTGTATATGACTTGTAGAGAAACAAAAAAATAATTCAAGAGCAATGTATATTGGATATCTGAAGGACTCCCATGTAACACATTGCCTTCCTTAATAGTTAGCTTAAATATAGAAGTGCTGAGACTATAACATAATTGGTTTGTTTGCAGTTTTAATGTCCCTGTATACCTCTACTGCTCAGTGAGGTGAGCAATCATGAAACTTATGTAACGTATGCCACATTAATTGTTTTAATTTTGAGACACCTTTAACATCTGCAGCAATACACTTAAGATTCTTCTGAGACTGTCCTTGTAGGCTTTAAAAAGAAATTGCATTGGCTACCAACAATAACAACAAAAGAGGTAAAGAGATCATAAAGGCAGCACATGGAGATAGGATTGAGGTTAATACAGACTCAAGGCATTGTAGCTGTACACAAAATGACTGCAATCTGCAAAGTATTTTTAGGAGCTCAATCAATAAATCTTTCGATTCTTGTAGTGCAGACAATGTCCATTACTGCGGAGTGTGTCCACTGTCTCTATATAGAGTTCATAATGATATATGAAGTACATTTAATGCTAAAGCCAGTAGCACAATTCATGCCACTTTGTGACAGGAAAAAAAATAGTAGTTGTAATATAAAATGTTACAGAATTCAATATGTAGCATCAAAATACACTGTGAGTAGAATTTGAGAAATAATTTAAGGAGTCATTTAATACAGTTCAGGCATCAATTCACTTCAACTCATGTTAATATAATCATTCAAACACCCCCCAACACACCTTCTATTGCTTTACTATTTGTAATATCAGTAATGTTCTCAGAAAAGGATAGTTCCTAACAATGAATATTTCTGCTGCTAATGGTCTGAGGCCATCAGCTCCTTCCAGATGCTCATTAATCGTTAGAAAATAGACTATATAGTAGTTACTGCTTAAAGAGTGGTCAAGATAGATCACTTCAATAAACAATGTAATATTTTTGAAGCAATGAATCCAAAGCAGAACTACCTAGGATGTATCATTATACATTATGTCAGTTTAAATTAGAACATTCGTTAAGCAATTACAAATCTTTTAAGCCTTTCTGAACCTTGTTATATGATGCAGAAGAAGAGTTTTTCCTGCTTCTCTGATTTCTAAGCTTCATAATACCCTATGAGATCTAGTATGGTGAAAAGTCTTATGCATTGTTAACACTTCTGTATTAATATGGGATCATATCACATGAAAATTTAATTTGAAAACCTTTCATCGAAAGGCATTCATGGACATTTTTTCCTTATTGTACTTTTTCCAATTCTGAAAAGATAAAAATACAGCAGATTGTACGCCAAGCCATGCATTATTTCTTAGTTTAGGTTTGCAAAAACACATAAATCACTAACAGCTCTGTATAACTGCTGGAATAAGAACAGGCAGGTGGTATGCTGCAGTAATATAAACTGTGTACAAATAAAAGGTTAAATAGTTTAGGCTTGTAACTAAACTACATATAAACCATCAGAATGATTACATTCGATTAAGCTGGAGTATATGCTCCTGCACTTTAATTACATGCTGGACTAAGAGCAAAGTTGATTCAAGGTTCCAAAGACAGTTTCTTAATTATCTCAAATTTAGTATATAGTGCTTTAGAACATAAGCAAAACCTAAAGCTTGATGACTTCTAAAATGCTGTTTATTACGCAGAACTGAATATTTCTAAGAAGATCATAATGAATGGGGAAATGGTGATATTATGTAGTTACTCCTATTTTAACAAATGACTTTTAAACCACACTCATTTGGTGAGTTTGACTTGACTATATTGGGGTGCTGCCTGTTCTTCCTATGTCCTATGTAAATTTAATCTCAGCAATACAATCCACTGATTCAAGAGTCAAGGCATCAAGTGATTGTTTTCTGTTCTTATCCCCAGGCTCCACCTCTATGATCACCTCATACCATTTTATAATAGGCCTGATTCTGATCCTGAACAAATAGGAGTCAAGTGCAATGTTAGACTGCTACCTCTGTTTGAATCTGTACCGAAGACTGTGGCCAAGGTTTCCCCTCTCCACCTTGTTTTATTATGTGAGGTTGTACTAGCCTGGTGGAATGTGTGCCGTTTCTTCTCAGTTTCCCATGTCATATTACAAGTCACTTTTGAACACTCTCTATGGTTTGTCACACATCATAGGAGATATGGTTCCAAGGGAATCCAGTCTGGAGCTCTTCTGGACTCATGGAACTGGTTTCACCATTCTTTGTATCTTGGCCTAAGTAGAGAGTACCAGTTGGGTGAAGTGGCTAGTGATGAATTGCAAAGTACTGATTTTGAATCTGCTCATAAAATGACTTTGGATCTCAGCCGAATGTGAGAATGAAATGGAATAACCCTTATGCATTTGTGCTTCCCTGATCTTTGGAAAAGATGGGATATGAAAGGGGGTCATAATAAAGGCATAGTGTGTCGATTTAGTAATAGAAGGAAGTTTTTGGTTAGGGATACCTGCTGAAGGATGGAGGAATATTCAAGCAAATAAGGTGACGGTTAGTGGCTTAAGTGTAAATGTTTTGCTACAGCTGAATCTGCTGCTATGGTTGGTGACCACAGTGGTAGCGGACAAAAAATTCTTACAATAATTTTGTTTCATTCTGCAGTGCTTACCAGTATTACAATTGTAAATCAAGTTTTTATGCATTTGTTTTATTTAGGTGCGAGCCAGTGCAATCGCTCAGGATGCAGATCAAAATTATGATTATGCCAGTAACAGTGTAGTTCTGCATTTGGAGCCAGGAGATGAAGTCTACATAAAATTAGATGGTGGAAAAGCACATGGAGGAAACAACAACAAATACAGCACATTTTCTGGATTTATAATTTATGCTGACTGATAATGAGTCAAGAACTAAATCACATTCTTCTAAGTGATGGATTCACGTGGCAAAAATCAATGAATCAAGAATCCCAGAGGATACTGGCTGTGGACACCTCAGTAATGGGGCCAAAGGCTACCTGACTCACGTCTGTACAACCCAGAGAAAGAGTGTGTTAAAATATAGAGCAAGTTAAACAGATGTGTGATCCACTATCACCAAAGCAAAATACTCCCTGTTGTTAGTGTCCATGTGAATGAAGTCTTATATAGATCACAACTTTTATAGAAAGAAAAAGAAACAAACCTTAAGGCACTGAATTATTTCTTCAGCTTATATACTTTTGGTGTGCTATGATCTTGCTGCTTTTATCCATCCATCAGCTTTGGTACTTGTGACTGACCTGCTAACTATGATGCGTGTGGAGCCAACTCATAGTATGTGGTGAGGAATGATTTTACAATAAAAAAGATGTAACTAAATTTTCATTCCCTTCAAAGGAATTATTTGCCTAGTCCTTGTATTCCCTTACTACCTAGAAATAGAAATGAACCTGCTTCACATCTTAGTTCTAATTTTACTGCAGAGAGGTGAACATCACATGTTTTAATATCTGCAGCACAGTTGTGTCTAGTTTTCTGCTATTGCTCCAGTTCAGTGATTTCTTACTGGGGTAGGAGCATCACAGAGTTTAACAGAGTTCCAGCACCCGGAAAGCGTGTTCCATTCCATTCGAGGGAGGGAGAAAAATCCATGCGTAATCCATTTGTACATGCTAGTGTGCTGCCTCCACTGCCGTCAGTGGACATTGTGCACAAGCAGGAAGGCCGCAGGTTCACTGAAGTGCATGCAGGGCTCTGAATCTGCATGCGTGCGAGCAAAGCATGGAACATGAAGGCTCTGTGAAATAGTTTAAATAAAGAATGCCATAGCCTGATAAGGAAGTTAAAGGCACAGCTTGAAATTTTCATTAGGAATATGATCTGGTCTTTACTGTTTTTCTGCCAAGCTGAATGTGTGATATTCCTGGCCACCATGCAGCTGTGCATATCTTCTTTCACTGTAAATGCCTTCAAGTGCAACCACAGGAATGAATGAGTGCCATTGACCTATTTGGAAAACCAGTAAGAGTTGACACTCGGGAGCACCATTTTTGTAGTGATCAATCAATCAAGCTCTGTGGCCAGTTTCTTAGTGATTACGGTGAGGGAAGCATGTTTTACTGCTTCCTGTTCTAATATCTTGCCAAATGTAACCCATTTACTTTCTTCCATAGAACTCAATGGCATCAATCCCCATTTGAGCCTACGCTTACCTGCACAATTTCTTCCTGTTCCAGTTTGTCGGGTTCCATCTGCAAATAGCTACAGCTGTACAGAACCTTCTGTCCTGTGATGCTTTCCAAAGTGTTTGCAGTATATAGATTAATACAACCAAACAGGGATAGTGGTGCCCACTCAGCACCTTCCTTTTGAACATGGTGCCAATCACATTAGGAAGGACCTACCCTATTAGATTCATTTGTTTGCAGAAAGTGATTCCATATAGTTCAGCACTTTCAGGAAGCAAGTGCCCAAAGCAATGATCTGTGTATATATGAAATGAGAGGTGTCTTGCAGTGCAATGCTGTACATGTCTGTTCAGAAGTTAATTCCCATTGGGTCCAATGGGACTTATTTCTGGAGAAGTATGTATAGGGTCATGCTGGAATGTGACAGAATGAATGTTGGTACCTGGCTATTTTTATAACAGTAAACCTAACCGTAGAGGAGTATGTCCCACAATGTGTACAAGATGGATCATGCTAATAGGCTGCTACACAGGAGTGCCAGAAAAATGGCAAACACCATAATCAAATCTGCCATTATCTGTGGTTTGGATTGCACTGAGCATGGGCAGATAGTTTTTCATTGCTCCCGTTATTATTTCTGTAATAATCCTGTAACACAGGCCAGTGTAAGCCTAATTTTACAACTGTGAAAAGTGATAATGGTTTTGGCATATGAGTCTGTAGCTGAATGCTGAATACTATTTGGAATACTATTCCTTATACTAGATTGGATTCAGTGGATGGAAGGGCTTTGTCATGGAAATGTGCTTCTGCCCAAATTGTAGGGATCCCTTCTGCAGCAAGTAAAGCCTCGGGACCCCCTGTGTAGCGTTTTCAAGGGGCTGGAGTGGTTGTCATAAGAGCGAGCATAGAATCCTTTTCTGTCAGCCCAGCTGCATGCACCCAATTCCGAATCCAGCTTACCATTTTGTACTTGCCCTTACAGCCTCTACTACACAGATATATTAATAACAAGACCCCTGAAGACACGTGTTTTTCATGGATTATTCTCAGTCCGGCCAGAATGAGTATTCTGAAGCAACTAATCTTGTATATAAATTTCTAGTTTCTGTTTTGGTTTTTATTAACTTTTTTATATATTTACAAGTTTTACTGCCTCAAACCATTACATGGAGTTACAGGAATACTAGATGCAATCTTATACCTATTCACCTGGGAATGTGTGCCATTGGCCTCATTTGGATTTAGATATAGGTAGATAGGTATAGGATTACACATCAAAGGGTACAAAATGCATTTGTGATTTGTTTCATCATTAGTCCAATACAAGGATATCTTTTAAGCACTAGGTTGAAGAATAAATAATGGAATTGTTTAATATATGTATATTGTTAGAAGAAAATTATGCCAAGGAGAAAGTATCAAATGTGGGAAAATATTTATTTTAGCCTATTTTTCTTATATAAAGGGGCTCAGAAAGGACTTTTCAATTATATTTCCATAAAAAAGCCTTTGACACATTAGTGCTTCTATACATAATGTGTTCTGGAGTAATTCTTTAAAATACCCATTAACAATTTATAGTGGAGTTTCTAGGAGACCCTTAATTGTACTGTGGAAGTCCATGTGTGAAGCACTTTCCTGATATGTTTGCTGCTACCACTTGTAAATGTATTTATGTGAAATTATTTTCTGCTGAAACCAGTAGGCATTATCACCATGTAAAAAGTGGTTACAGTCAGCATGTTGGAGAGCATCCACAAGAGAAGCAGTAAAGGTATTTACAGTGCAAGTCTCAGAAGCAGGTCCTACTGACTTTATGGGATAGACTCCAAGGAAAGTGTATAGAGGACTGCAGCCCAAATGTTTGTTTTTTTTATGCAGAGTAAGAGTAGTAATAGGAACTTAGTTTCTCCTTCAACTCTCTCTCTCTCTCTCTCTCTCTCTCTCTCTCTCTCTCTCTCTCTCTCTCTCTCTCTCAACTTTAGTTTGAACATGAGGTGTACCATGTCTCTGTACTCCAAATACCATTCCTTTCTTTCACAATCCTGTCTCTTTATTTTCTAGATGTGTGTAAATTATATATTAAAAAGGTAAAAAAAAATCCGCTCTCTCTAAAGCAGTTGTTGAATTATGGTATTATTCCATTATCTTCTCCCTTTTTAGAAGGCATTTCATTCATAATAGTGTTCCACCATTTTATGTATTGCAAAAATGTTTCCCATAAAACAGCATATCTCAAAAGATTACTGTTTCATTCGATTGGACAATTCAACTCAAATTCACCTGATGATATGCCAATTTATGAATTGATGCAGTGATTCTTTTCTATTTTGGCTCAATGCAAGCATTCACTGTACTGGTTTTTTTTGTGGGGGTTAAACTAGGCCTTACTTTCTCTACTGAGTTCATAACTGAGCTTGATGGAAAAGATAGTTGATATCCCGACTGACTGACAGAAAAAACTGAAGAGCTTTGGGGCTTTTCTTTAAGGAGTCAAATGGCATGTCTGAAGTTATGTTCCAGCGAAAGAGATTCATCTATGCAGATGAGCCTGTTTTCCTTTTTCTGGGCAGCAGAAATTTCTGTTGTAGCTCTGAATGCAATAGAGAATGCTGCTATTTGGAATAGGTGAGAAGGGCCCAGCATATGCATGCAGTATCTTTATTCAATTGCACTAGACAGTGAACATGACATTAACAAGGACTTAAAGAGCCACCAAGAAAATGGTGTCCCCCTGATACAGTGAATTAAAGTTTCCAGCATTCTTGCCCATTGACCATAATAGCTGGAACTGATGGGAGTTGAAATCCAAAATCTGGAGGGCACCAAGTTGGGAATTGATGCTGCAAGATATCTAATGGTTGGCATGTTTAAAGCATAAGAAACTTGATGTTAAATGATTATTTTCAGCAGATAAAACTTTTTTTTAGATAAATCATTTATTTTTGTTTAGGAGCACATCACAGAAAACGATAACAAGGCAAGCTTTTCTTTTAAAAAATATCTTGACAAACTGATTTGTAAATTATGGGCTTTATTACATCAGCTCATTAAATAATATATATTTTGACTTTTGGTATTGTCTCTTCACAATAATTTGTGATAACAGCATTTCCAATAAAAGCTAACAATCTAACTCCTTTGTTGATTATAAAATAAAAGGAACTTTTTGACCTTAAAAAGCCATGATCAGGAGAAACTGCACTTTGGTTCACTTAGGCTGCAATACAATACACACTTACTTGGGAGTACTTATATATCACAAAAAGCCTTCTAAGTAGATTTGCACAGAATGGTACTTTTAAGTCTAATGGCCAATATTTGATGTGGAGGAATGGCAGTTTAAACCTATTGAAATCAACAGAAACACACCTTATTCTGTATGATTTTACCCACTGAATTTTAGTGCAATCTAACTGTTCACACTAGCATTCAATCTGGCCAATGTGTTATTGGAGGCTCTCCAATTGCTTTAATTACATGGATGTTTGTCAATCCATTCTTTACAATCCTATTTAAAAGTAGTATTTTTAATTGAGATAAAAATTAAGTTTCAAATTTAAATTTTCATTGATGTAAATCTGATCACAGCAGTACTTACATATTTCTATTTAAAAGTCAGCCACTGCTTGGGATTTGCTATCAACAATTTATCAATTTTCTTCTGAGATATGCCTCTAGCAATCATTTTGGGGACTATGTTTTCAAGTATATGAGAATACCCATGACCCCCATATTTCTTTAATCTATTCTTTGTGTGTATGTCATGAGCAATTAAAATTTTGTCTTCATAACCTTCATCAATCAGCATCCGAACCCTGCAAAATACAGATAAATTCACATCTGTCAATATATTTGATTGAGCAACGGTATTGAAATAATTCTTTCATACAGACTTGGACTGTATTTTTAATTAAATGGTGTATTCTGGCATCTTTAAAAATACAGATTATGTCTAAATAACCAGTAAAAAAAGAAAACCAATCCCAACACCACCCTGCTCATGCATATCACCTATGGGCTAACACTGTGATATAACAATATTTACGAGCATCCAAAATGTTCAAGGACATACAGTCAGTCATGGAATGTTTTCAAATATTGCAGCTTCAGTGGGAGAAGTGAAAAATCAGCTGAATGAATCTGGTGTTTCCAGGGGTATCCACGAGCACTCTGCCTTAAGGTACCCTTCCAGGCATGTAAGCCACTAAATACAGATAAAAACAGTGCCCAATACTGTATCTGCTTAGCCAAAGCCTTATTCCTAAGATAATTTTTGCCTCTGAGTGACCTGGACCCCTGTTATCACTGGTTAGTAAGTCCTACAAGAAAAAATGCCTACTTCACTATCATTTGAAGTGTTTATTTTGCAAACCATCTTGAGAAGGTTTTCTTTTACCTTTAAAATGGTTTTAAAATGTTTTAAGTAAGTACCTATTGGAAGGCCACTATGGTCCAAAAGACAGCATTCTACAGCTAAGCATCTCTGTTCAGTCACAGATTCAGTGGGTAGCTGGAGGAGAGTCAGCTGCTCATTAGCATGGTATTGTCATAGAGAGATGAGACCAGATTCTTTGACCATAAGCAATGAAAGCAGTTTGTACTGCTTATTACTGAGTGAGCTTCACTAGGTCACCATAATCACAACTGAGCTAATAATCATTAAAATATCAATATGAATGAGGTATTACAGGAGGGTAGTAATCTGCCCCACCTCAAACTTCCTTGGATCAATAGATTAAATAAATAATCAAGTCAGCCAGCTACAATAACATAATCCTAAGGGAATATAAACGTCTCTCCACACAATTTCTTCCACCCACAAACGCACAACAATAAAATTCTGTAAAATTAGCAGATAAAAAACCTTTTTTAAGCTATGCTGTCTCAAAGGACCTATTTAAAGATCCACATGCAAATTGGGATATTTAAAAATCTTTTATTCAGCATTAGTGGAGCTGAACATGAGTTAAGTCTGAAAAATACTTTCGCCCTCCAATGTTTATACAAACATAGACACCGAGGTCATTTTGATTTGTATGACTATGATGAATGCAAGTCAAACATGAGCTGGCTATGAATGAACAAACAGTCTGCCTGTTATCCTAGTATGTTCAGCAACAATAAACTGAATACAAAAAAGCAGTTTAATGGCATTTCTATTATAAATGTACACACTATTCTGAGAAAAAGGCAATCTTGTATCCATATAAAACCTACTGCCATTTCTGCTCAATGCCACTTTGAGAAGAAATTATGAAGGAATTGCTGTAGTTTGGGGAAAAAAAGCAGTGCCACATTGTGAATGGAACAAAACGATTGCCATTACTGATAACAGTCTTTCTACCTACACAACCTCCAATAAAATCTGTTCCTTGCATTAGTCACAAAATTGTTTCCAGATTAGCCAAGCAGCCAGAAGTCCCGTAAATGATTTCACCATGTGTTAATTTAAGGTACTATAGGGTACATTGAGAAGGGAGAATACTTTAAACCAAGAACAAGCAACTTGTGGCCCTTCAAAGTTTGGCTTACAACGCCAAGATTCCTCAGAGTTGGCTATGCTGGCTTACAATTCCCTTCCACCCTCACCAAAAATCAGGAGGACCCTAAGTTGCTCAGTCAACAAGTTGCTCAAACAACTGAAGATACCTTCAGTTCTTCCTATATGAATGTCTTTTCTAATGAGAGTTGTAGCAGGATTTATGCACGATATTGTTACACTGGGATATTGTTACACTGAGATCCTATGTTCAAGCTACCTCACCCACACGGGGTATGGGTTTGTATAGGCCAGCTTTCTCCAACCTTGTGCCTTCCAGACATGTTTGGACTACAACATCCAGAATTCCCAGTCAGTGGCCCTGCTGGATGGGAATTCTGGGAGTTGTGGTCCAAATGCCTCTGAAGGCTACCAGGTTGGAGAAATCTGGTATAATACCATCAGGTAAAAGGTATTGTGTGTCAATAACTTCCATGCAAATGTTTCTTTTGTTGAAAGACATACTCCTGCCTAACTGGTTTTTGTTTCACTTTGCATATAATTTTGTCAATTAGGCGTTGGTAGGTAAAGGAGAGGCACCAATGCAATACTTTCAATCTGTAAATCTGTTTAGGAGATCAGGAGATACCTACAGGACTGTACATTCTCTCCCCTCATGTACTAATTCTCTCAGCTCTTCCTCAACAGCCATGAGTATGGTTGAGAATTACGTTTGCACTGGTCTTATCTATTATTACTGTTGACTGGAGTTCCTTTCCTAAGCAGGCTCTGAAACTAGTTTACACATTATAGTTGAGAAGCATCCTGGATGGCATCAACACTTATCCAGGAAGCCAGATTTAAAAAGGGAGTTACAATAATTATGAGTACATTACAGTATTGATTTCCTAAAATATGCGGTATGAATGAACCATCTAAAAAGTAGCATCAGTGATACAAGGCTAAATGCTGACTCTTTTCCTTGCCCGTGCTTTCTTCTTATCTGTTTTTTGCTTGTTAGAGAGTGAAACACGCAGTCTCCAATGATTCAATATTCCCTTTCTTCCAGAGCTGGCCCTCAAATGTCCCACCACAGTTGAGGATTTCCCAACTCAGAATACACATGTTGTGCTACCATATCTAATTTGGTGTGTTGTGACTGCAGACAGAGAAATGACATGTGAGAATCTCCCCAGGGAGATGCAACAATATCAGCTTCCTAGTTTAATCATGGTTGAAGTGGAGATGGCCCCAGATTTTTGATACATGTCATTATAGCATTTCTGCTTGTTTCTCTATTAATTGGGCAGGGGTAGGAGTTTCAATATATTTACACAAAAAGTCATATAACATGGTAACACACATTTTGGTGATTTATTACAAAATTTGGAGAAAAGCAGAATTGGAACTGCATTTGGGAGGTGCTAATCAGGTCGTTCTGCTTCCAAATGCAGAATAAACAAAATTCTCGAGCAGCTCCAGGTTAGTGACTGGGAGCGTTAAGTCTGCTTTGAACTTGTGAATCCCAGAGTACAATCCACAGAAAGCTAGTGCACTTGCCATTGCGACAGCTATTGACAGTCATGTTCAGTTTGTGACACTTTTAAAATGTACAGCACTTCTGTCATTGCCAGAAGTTTCAGTGTCTAGAAATATGTACCTTAAAATTCTTTCATTGTCACTCGGCATGTCAATATCAGGATTCATGTGGTAGAAAATAAATTCTGTTCCAAAAAGGTCATATTCTAAGTAGCATCCCAGCTGAGCAAACTCCAACAGCTTCGTCTTATCAAATATAGTCCTGCAGAAATCAAAATACAGTGTAAACATGCTTAATGCAATTTTATCTCATAGTTGACCAAAGCATTTATCTCATTTGACAACAGTCCACAAATTGATCAAATACTGCTTCATAACTGATTCATATTCTTCAAAAACCAGCTTAAATTAATTAAAGACTTGCAGATGTTTTGACCCAGCCAGGTTTACATATTCTCTGCCTATCCTGTTTATTAATAGACTAAACAGCCATCCTAGTTTCATATCTTTTCAGCTCTTCAGCAACACTATGGAGTAAAATCAATGAACTGAGAATGCCACATAATAATAAATAAATTTTCCTCAAACATCTTTCTCATATACTTTTTCTGTGTTTATTCAGATGTTCACTTCTGGCACCACTAAATCATGGAAGTGCAAACGAGAACAAATTACCTTTTGTTGGGGTCCATGTAGATAACGGATACATTTCAAAGCAAACTACAACCATTCCCTAAGTTCACTATTCCCCAGCACTGAGATTCCAAAAACTTTAAAGCAACTATATATTGTCATCCACGTGACCAACAAGGTGCTTTTTAAGTGCACTATCTTTTATAGTTCCATACAGTGAACCATTGGAGAGCTAGAACAACTCAAAATAAAATGTACTGAGACCAAACAAAATATATACAAAGGTTCTGCAACTGATCTATTTTAAAGTTAAAAATAGCAAAGAAAAACTGACTTTAGGATGCAATACTATGACGAATATTAAGGCCCCAACTAGGATGCTTTACAAACATCCTATGCAGACTGAGAAAAGTGGTAGATGCAATCCTTACAACCCCATCTTTCCACCCCGCATTTCTGCTAAATACTTTTTCACCCATTTTGACGTGTGTCCTGGAGAAGGAAAGAGACTGGAACAGCATCGGGACATCTCATATTCTCGTCCGTCCTGCTTCCTTCCCTTTCCAGTGGCCCCTTTCCCTGAGGTCGCCTTCCCAGCCTTGAAGAGCTGTTTGCACGGTTCCGTCCACACCACATGCACTACCAGTAAGAGTCAGGGCTTGGAGAGCCATATAGAAAGGACATACATGGAAATCAAAACCCCACATAGAGTTTGTAATGAAGCTTAATCTTAACCTATGGTAGCAAGAAGAATACGTATTTATATAAAACAAACAGAATACACCCTCAAATGTGTAATACGAAGCAAATGTATATTTAATCAGAATAAAACCCATGCAATTAGTGTATGTGGGTGTGTGTGGTATTACACTTTTAAAACCATAGTGTTATTTATGAAGATAGAGTTGTTGACTAATTAACAGTCTGTGGCCCAGTCAGGAACACCTCAAATAATTTTACTTATGGAAAAGTTCTGTATGAAAGCTACTATGCAGGCCAGATTTGTTTGTTTCCTCCTTTCTGCAATGAGATATTAGAGTGCCTCTGATGCATTTGGACCAAGATCTCAGAAGACGTTTTCTTCACCTAAGGAAAATTCCTTTGTGTAATGGAATGCATTTATTTATATAGATATTGTTCACCTGCTTTGTCTTCTGACCTTCTGATTATTTTAAAATGTTTTTTCAGAAATGTTAATTACCTGAAAATTCTGGGAGTAGTTTTAATGAAAACGGTTTTTGTCAGCAGTTTAGCCTGTGCATTTGACATTAACATGGGTTTCTGTAGCTGAAATAGGGGTGAGCTGTGAAGGATGCATAAATTATTTTAAAAACTCTTCCATGGAATGTCCTACCCATGTCCGTTTTAGTAACTGTTTTGGGGACCCTTTAAAACATTGAACCCAAGAGAAGACAAGAAGTAGTCCCTACAAAGATCTGACTACAGAATATCATCATGTAGTCAAATCTGATTGGCTACACAGAATGTGACATCACAAGGCATGTGAAAGAAAGCTCTACTTTTTCAGAAAAGAAAAGCAGTACTGAAACTATACTTCTCAAAGAGAAGTATAAAGAGGCATCAGTCAGTGTGCAAAAATGTAAGCAGGGCTGGAATGCTATGAAACTGTTTGCATTCTCAGGCAGTCTTCCTTCCCACCCTTCAAAAAAATATTATGGGTGAACATTCAGTAGAATTACTTGAAATACAAATTCTCACCCACACTACTTAAGTGCTCTTTTTCCTTAATACCACAAAGTTATTAGGGGTTGGCTCAATTACATTATTGTCTGTTACTATGGAAATGACTGATGTCACACATTCAATGTTATGACTTAACAGCGGGATTAAGAAAGAGGAACAGATGGGGTGAGTGAAGGAAAACGCTTGTTCAAACACAACTGTCAGCAGTGGGAGTCTCATTATAGCCAACTGTAATTAATAAAATCCTTTTTTAAGTTATCATCCTAGTTTACAGAGGATCAGAGGCTTTAACAAATAGCCTTTCGAAGTGCTGTGCAATAGATACAGCTCCCATTTACAACCTTGAGACAGTTCTAGGCGCTCTAGCAGCCAAAGGCATTGTTTTAATGGCTATGCATAACTTACGTTTTGTGGAAGTGCTTTGTACTTCTACCATTATTATCAACATTATGGTTGCAGCGTGCTTTTTTGCTTAATAGAATTTATTTAAGATTTTAATAATCAAACAGCTTGTGACTCAGGGAAACCTAGAAAAACTTCTAGACAGAATAGCACTTGGAAGAGAATGTCATAGCGCGCTTTACTTCCTTATAGGGCCTCACAAATGATTAGACATGAATGGAAACATATGTAGACTTTTTTGTAGAAGTTTAAAATCATGCATGAGAAATTAAAGTGCTGCAGCGTGGCATGCTCTGAATCCTGCATTTCAGCCAGCCATGCCTTCCCCAGCTACTCCACTCCATTCTTCCTTCTAGTTTCCCATTTCTTCCTTCACCACCAGCAGGCAGGCAGGCAGGATTCTGCAGCCAGGGGGCACATGCAAGTCTTCAATGGGCTGCTTTAGGGAGTTTCCCTATTAGTGTTTGTATTCCCCCAGCATTTTCCTTTTGGTACTTCTGCAACCCTTGTGGCTCTTCCAAGCATGTCAATACCTCCTTTTTGTACATGAATTGTGCCATTTCGACTGCATGACTGAACACCAGAAAGGCAGGGGACAATTAATTCCTGGGAGGGAGAGCAGTTGTGTGTGTGCCTCTATCGCTCACACACCACAGATGTAGGCCAACTGCACCAGAGTAGAGAATTCATGGTTACATAGTTGGACATTCTTCAGTAAACATCAGTTCTACATATACTGTACCCCAAAAAATTCAATAAGACATATGACCACAAATGGCTTCCGGCCTTCAGTGATCAGCACTGCTCATCAATACTTAGTCAACTACCAACAAATCATCACCCATACAAGGTCATATAAGTTTGACTTCGCATATAGCCTTTATTTTTCTGCTGAACAGATGGGACATTCATTATTCTATGGGAGTCCTATGGATTTTGTTTTCACAAGGAGGAACACCTTGCTGTTACAGCAGGAATGAATTTGTCTAATCTATTGTAGCCTGAGTACGTCATTGCATCAGGTTTTGGGACAGGTGGGGGGTTGTGGAAGAAAACAGAGGAAGAACAAGATCTAGAGATTGTCTTGTTCTTTAAATTAAAACCATTTCTTCTGCATATATTCTTTACCTGTGGTAGAAGTGGCTTGGGGTACATGGGTTGATCCATCTATGAGGAAAAGGAAGCTAAGGTGGCAGATGTGAGTTACCAATTAGGGAGCTGCCTTATACCAATTCAGGAAGGCAGGCAGCCTTTTGCCCAGCTCTACCTGGGACTGCTAAGGAGGTCAGGTGTGGCATGCTGGGATCTCCTACATGCAAAGCATGTTCACTGTATCCCTGAGCTACCATCCTTCCCCAGCAGGAACATGGGCTGTGAATCACTTCAACCAGCCTGCATGCACATAAACCAGCTTATGCCACAGGCTAATTTTCTTGAGAACATGTTGCACCAAACTCAGTAGGATTTGCTTCCAAATGAACATGCACCTCGGACGCATAGGCAGATAGTACTGAGCCAGTAGGTTAGTCCTTAATGATAACTTGCAGACAGCATTTCAGTACCCGAGTGCAAAATCGCCCACTCATCCAGCTTCTCAACATATAGTTCTCTTTGCCATAAAAAGTATTTTCATTTTAAAACTCTGATATCTAACACTGAGACAGGCAAGTAGGAAAGAGAACAAGCTCTGTGTGTCCAGTAGAAACACTGCTATGTGATTATCTGCTCCCAATACACTACAGGTATCTAGCACAAGAGCACTGCCCCCTCCAGAGGGATGGAGGGCATTAGCAAGGAGGGCATGTATGAAAACAATTAATGTCTTATTAGCAATTAATCTATGTCTAGTCAAGACTTGTGAGCTACGATGCATGTGATGCAGCCTTGCTGGAACACCAAAATGGGAAAAATGAGGTCACTATTATCTAAATGGAAATGAAATACCACAGAGAATGAAGAATACAGATCCAGAGTAGAGGAATGTCAGTGTATGCTCATGTGTCCAAACACACACACACACACACACACACACACACACACACACACAGAAGCACCATAACAGCCTGACAAGCATGCATTTTGTGCTGGATCCTGCCTGGATCTGTCTTCCACAAGTAGAGCTCTTCCTTTTGCAGAATGTCTCCCTAACCACAGATCATGTTATTTATGATCCAACACTCTCTGTAGCATTTTGAGGGGGTTTGGATAACTGCTGTGGAATGGAAAGGCAAGGTATCCCACTTTCGACAGAACAATTGATCAAATGGAAGTCCACATCCAACTCAATGAAACTGGAGAAGCAACACAGATATTTGGTGGAGATTTGTACAACTGCATCAAGTTCCAACACTGTTGTGAGAGTTCTATCTCCATGAAATTTTCTACTTGAGTGATAGTGCCAAACAATTCCTTGACATAAATAGAACTTGATAAATGCAAAATAGACTTGAAAAACATGGTAATTTATTTAGGTACCCAAGCAGCATCTTAAACTGTCACTTGTTTTCTCTAATGAACACTGTGATCCACAAACCATTTAGGCTGGCATATTTGTACATAAGGTTTGTGGACTTCAGAAGGACTAAAGAATTTTGCAGAAGTATCTTGGTTTGAAAGACTTGAGGATCTATCACCAACTTTATTAGAGATTCAAACTGGCAACATGTAAGTATTATAGCATTCCTAGACTTCCAGAGAACTAACACTGCAATTGCTAAGACAGGGTCAATGCTTGGTGTAATGACAGAAAACTGATTATACTTGGACTGTCACAATTGGCTGTAGGTGCACTGGAATTCCACTATCTAGAAGCAAAAAACATTGAAAGAACAAACAACCCCCAGCATATTTACCTGTCAATGTGAGACATGACAGTTTTTGAGATATCAGCCCCAGCTTCCTGCAAAATTCGAAGGATCTGGAAAGGGGAATCACTATTTCTGCCAGGATGGATTATGACAGGGCAACCAAGCTGGGACTGGGCATGCGCTGTTGCTTGAAGTACTTTGTTTTCACTCTCTGTCAGAGGCCAAGAGCAGCCAATTTCTCCTATTACGCCACACTTGATGTTGGTGCCATCAGCTCCATTAAGAACTTCATTAACAATAATTTCTGTCAGCTAGAGAAAATAAATGTTTGTTTGATAAAAGCTCTCTTTATACTGCAGTGTATCAGATTTAATATAATTCAAGGAAAAGGTTCCTTGGAGTATTTTTTTTCTTATGCATTGCTCTTGAAAAGCTCTTCCACCCCTGAAGAGTCTTTGAGCTGGAAATGCACCTCTGGATCCAATTTACTGGATCCTTGGATTATCTTAGATTACGCTCTGAATTTCCAATGTTGAACCTTTTAATTTTTATTATGTTAAAAGCAATTTAGATACTGAGGTTAGATATTGAGGTTGCCCAGTTTTTATTACATTTTCATACACACCTGCTCTACAGACATGGCTCGTATCTCAGGAGAATGTGTGGCATCTACATAAAAACCAGCTCCAGCAATAATATGGACACCAGTTTCCTCTGCAAGCTGCTTCAGGGTCTTCACATCTCGCTGGATCCCAGTAGTTGTATTTTCCACAATGGTCCCACCACCTAGAGCCTTATATTGCAGGAGCTCTTCCTTCACAGCATTTACCTCTTGACATAGAAGAAGATTCTCTTTGTGACTATAGGGATTCTGTTTAAGCCAAAATAAATTCTCCATTGCAATAGGTATTTCAGAGAGTGCTTCTTGGCCTGAAGCAGGTGGGTAGTAAGAGCAATTGAAGGTCATTGTCAAGTGTTCATGGGTCATTGTGTAGCCAAGCTGGGTAGGTTCTATGAGACCCAAAACAGTCTGGACTTTACCCGTCAGTGAAGACATTTTTTTTTTCCTTTTCTTTTTTGGAGGGAAGTCGTATTCTGGGGAAATAGCAAAAAATGATAGAAAACTATGAGTTTTGCATGGCACATAGAGAAGAAGACTAAGCAAGATTAACTAGGTTGCATCAGAAGTAAACAGTCACCATATCTTTTGTGAGCCGCCCCGAGGCTTGTGAGCCGCCCTGAGGCTTTGTTGCAATGGGGGCGGCATAGAAATGTTTTAAATAAATAAAAATAAATAAAATATCTTCTCCTTCTATACGCTTATAAAATATTTTCAAGAAGAAGTCCTATCAGTTTTGTTTAGCTAAAAAGGTTAAGCTAACATTTCATCAGTGTACAATCTAATTTACTCTGAGAAGTCAAAGGCAAAACCATGGCTTTAGGAAAGGAGGCAAGGCCACCCACTGTCCCATCTGTCTTGTCATACGCATTCCAAAATATGGTTTCAGAATATTTTGTCAGGGTCTCTAAGTTCTTTTGAAAATGAAAGACAAATGAATATTAGAAAAGAGAATAACTTCTAATAAATGAATCTAGGCTGGCTGAACAATCATTTTACAATTTATTACATATGCCTCCATCCTGCTTTTTAAAGTAGTTGCTGGCTGTTCCTGTGGTGCAAGTGAGAGGATAACTTTCCTTTTCTGGGAACACAAAAACAAGTGAAGTTCAGTGGTGGGCATGTTGTGAGCGGAGCCGGGGGTCAGACTAGATGGCCCGGGAGACCCCTTCTGATTCGCTCTGTTTCTATGTTTCAGTGCTGATGAGAAATTTGAACAAGAAACTGCTGAGTTACAATTTATCCAGAGGTTCAAATCTATCACCTTTGCCTTGAACTAGGATAAAAAGTTTTAAGTTATACTTCACTTGTTAATTGCTGTTCCAGTATATGTTATCAGCAACAACTGTTTTATCCCTATCTGTACTTTCTCCATTTCATTTCCATCTGACATCACTGTTTATTAAACCCCCTAGCATATATGATAACCCTACATGTACCTGATAAAGTGTGCTATATATAGTCCACAAAAGGTTATACTTTAAAAGTATCTGAGATGCAAGGCTCTTCGCTATTTAAGAAACAAATTATGCATGCAAAATACTGGCATTTCTTAGTTTTAGTCAGTTTTGTTTGCTTCAAAGCAAAGCCTTTGGTCCCCAGAGACACACAATAAACTATTATATGAGGGATGCTCTTCGCTCTGTAGTCCTCCAGATGTTCTGACCTAGAATTCCCATCAGCCTTGGCCAGATAGCCCATGTGAAGGGATGATGGAAATCATAGGCAAAAACACCTGAAGGACCACCCCTGTATTATACAACCAAATAAACCACAGATCCTTAAAGATTCTGCACAACCTAAGTAGCAAAGCCTTATAACAGCAGGAATGCCCAAGTGGAAATGGAGCCATAGAGGAGAGAGACTGGGAACACAGAAATAGATGCCCAGACTATCAGCAATCCTGCATCCCCCAAGCTAAGGAAGGAATACATAAATACATCATTAGGAATACTGCCATAAAGGATGAGGGAGGAGGCTCTATAAAATTCAGAATGACAAAATGGGCAGGAATAACCAAAGGTTCATGAATTTACAAAAAGACAATTTAATAAGAGAAAGCTTAAGGCTTTGCATTTTCATTCCATAGAAGCTTTTTCAAGACAGATGAAGCTGCTTTTAGGACACAACTCAGCTAGGAATGCAGGCTGAATCTTGGAAGTACCATGAATTATACAAAATAAGTAGCTATATGTAGATTGGTCTGACATGCATGAAACCATTCTGACAGCCGAGTATGGGGCTTTCTTGGCACAAATTGTGCATCTTCTTTCATTAGAAATAAAACATTTCACAAAATTAATCATACATTTTCAAGGAAAATATTAATACTATTGAATACTGCAAACTCTAAAAGGGCAAAAAGTTTCTTATTAAATACATGGTACCATATATTGATGTCTGAATCTGTATTCCCCAAGAGCTGTTAATTCCACTGAGTTTGAAAGCCATAATCTGGAAAAGTTGCTAACTACCTAATTCTTTCTATGGATATCATATATCATTAACAATTCAATTCCACATACATTTTCTTGGAAGCAAGTCCCACAGAGTGCCATGGAACTTAGGATAAAACCAAATGCTACTTTTAATATGTAGCATGCATCTATGTCTGTTATTTTTCCTTACTCAAATATAAGTGTAGTGTGACTTGTTCAGGACCCTAACATGGAGATTAAGAAGGCTTTAACTCTTTGCCTCCTGTTGTCTTCTCAATAAAGATTGGGCCCTTCCATGCTTACAATTTACATTTGATAAAGAAGCCTCCATTCACTTCCACGTTGGAGCATGTTGCCATCCCACGTTTTCTTTCTTTAAAACATTGAGCCCAGTTTCCATGAAACTTGAAAGTATCCTTACTGTTCAGACACTATAGTAAGGTCTTATATAAAAGGTGTTACATTGTTCCTGTTTGAATTTCCTTTTAAATTCTGAAATCAAAACAAAGCAGCACCAGAAACACAACTCTGAGATTAATCAGCCAAATGTCAAAAGTCTTTATGGGATTGAACTCTTCTCAGCTTTGAAAGTACAAAAGACAGATTTCATTAAGGTAGTGTAGGCTCAGAGAGTGATCGCAGGTTAGTGAATTAACTCATGTTTCTTTTTTAAACAAAACAAACAAAACCAAATTCTGAAATGAAACAAATTCATCAAATTAGTTATTTTTCTGGATGTTTCTGTCTTCAATACAAGGCCATAAAATAAACAATTGAATTCCATGTGTCATATTTAAAATGTTTAAATTCTACTATTGCTGCTAATATTCAAAACTGCTTACAAAAATTGTAAAAACAAGTAATTAACAGGGCTATATAATTCTGAATAGTTCAACAACAAGTATAAAAAGTTCAACAACAAACAAAAATGTTAATAGAGATTTTTGCCAAAAGAAGAGGAGGAGGAGGAGGAACAGGAGCAACTAGATGGCCGGTAATTGGGGCCTCATTGCTACAATCTTATCCAGGAGTACACCCCTTTCAACTCAAGTGTGCACATACACAGAATTGCAGGATAAATAAGGAAACCACAGTGCAAACCAGCCATCTCTGAAGTGGGGAGCTACCCCTAGTGCCAGACAGCAGATGCTCTTACTTCAGAATCCTGCCTCAAAGGCAAGGTGATCTAAGCAAACTGACGCATGTAAGAAAACAGTTCTTCAAGTACCTAATCAGAAGCAAGTTCAATATGAACTACTGCTGAGTAACTGTATAGGACTAGAGTCTCTATAAGTGATAATTTGCCTTAGGCCTGGACACAAGTGGAGTTTTCATTCAAATATCATTGTGGCCGGTCACAATTTTAATTGTTTAATGGTTTGCATCTATTTCATGCAGTTCTTTACAATTAAGAAAAAGCTTTTTGTGGCTTAATTTGATAAAATTATTGGGATTATGTAAGTTTGCTGGTAAGTTCCCTCAAGCTTTGGACAGAGAACAGGCTACAATCAAAGACCAAAGCTATTACTGTAGTCAGACCGTGTTCAAAGGCATGGGGTCAACTCTTACAAGCCCTCAATGTCTACCATTTATAATTACCTCCATCTCTCATTTATTTTTAAGTTTACTTTCCATATTAACACTAAACATAGTTGACTGCCTAGTTCAATTCAGATCTGCCTGATGGTGGATGCAAAGGCTTGAGGATATGTAACTCCAGTCAGCCAAAATCATCAGTTATGAAACAAAATACATGTTTAATGATGTCCAGAGGATAGGACTAACTGGAGCATACATTATTGATTAAACATAAGACCTTCCTGTCTGCCTTTTAGCGCATAATACCACAAACAGTGGTATGTTACTGGTAAAAAGCCCTCAAAGCAGATTTTCAGAGTTTCTCCCCTTTCCTCTATGAATGCAACAGTTAAGCTACAGTCAAGAGGACAAAGTGCCCAAGAGATTTGTTTCTTCCATAGGCCCATTTTTAGGGTACAAGAGATTAACAAAACGTCAAACTGGTGCTAACAGGATGACCTACCCAGAATGTATTGTTATAAAAATAAAGCAACAGCAAGGGGACAGCTAGAATTGGTAAGCACCTGGATGAAGCTTTTGCACCAGCCATGATCAGTGGCACCAATGGCAGTAGGATGGTGTACGCTGGCTGGCATGTTAAAGGAGCTTGGTGCTGATCCTATTTTGGAGGTTAAGATTCAGCTCTACAAAGAGAGCTGAAACCTAGAGTAGACCCACCAGTCTACCAGTCTCTACTACTTTGCACACATAAAAAGCAACTCTTTCGTATCTTATGTAGAAGTCACATGATAATGCATGACAATCCAAGCCAGTAAAAACATTTTTGTTTGAGAATGAAATGGCAAATCCATGTATCCAGTAAATGAAACATCACTGGCAGGAAGTACCAAAATGGGATTACAACATATGGGTCAAAGTGTTGAGTTGTTAACTGAATGTAAAGTAATACTCATTTTGCGAAAGCAGACTCCTGGTTTATTAACACTGGTGAAATCAGCAAACAATGCTGCAATGCCTAGGATTTCTAAGGGGATTTCTCTGCTGTGAATCATTAAAAGCAAAGCGCTTCTCCTGTGCAGCCACAGTTCATTTTGATTAAATTCAAGTTGCCTGACCCAGCTATTAATTTACTACTTTTGATGAGAACCAGCATTCTGTAAGAGCAGCTTACATTTCTGGGAAAGGTTCAGTGATCAGACTCATGTGTACAATGAAGACAAAGAAGGAAAGAGAAGTTAATATGACTGCACAAAAAGTGTCTCTCTTAAACAGAGATATTCTTATTTTTTTTAAACAAACACCAACTGGACCATGTCTAATGATGTTTTAAGTCCCACCCTAATTTACATTCTCAGCATAAATTCTTCAGCATGGCTCCTTTTCAGTTCTGATGAAACACAGCATGAAAATATTTTAATTACTAATTCTAAGCGGAAAAACTATGTCATTGGTATTTATTCAGGTATTATAAAATTGTTATTCAAATGGACCTGGTTCAC